ACACCCTTTAGTATTTCTTGTAATTTTGGTTTGGTTTTTGCAAATTCCCTAAACTTCTGTTTATCTGGAAATGCCCTAATTTCACCATCCTATTTGAGAGACAGTTTTGCTGATACATAATTCTTGGCTGGCAGTTATTTTTCCCCTCAAGGCTTTATATGTGTCATCCCATTGCCTTCTTGCCTGCATGGTTTCTGCTGAGTAGTCCGAGCTTATTCTTATTGACTCTCCTTTGTAGATGACTTTTCATTCATCCCTAGCTGCTCTCAAAATTCTCTCTTTATCTTTAGTTTTGGCAAGTTTGATTATAATATGTCTTGGTGACTTTTTTTTGGGATCTACCATATGTCGGGTTCGATGAGCATCTTGGATAGATATCTTATCATCTTTCATGATATTAAGGACGTTTTCTGCCAACAAATCTTCAACAATTCTCTCTGTATTTTCTATTATCCTCCCCCTCTTCTGGTACTCCAATCACTTGTAGGTTATTCCTCTTGGTAGAGTCCCACATAATTCTTAGAGTTTCTTCATTTTTTTAAAAATTATTTTGCCTGAGTTTTCCTCAAATAAGTTGGTGTCAGTTGCTTTATCTTCATTCTCACTAATTATGACTTCTATTGCCTCAGTTCTGCTCCTGTGACTTTCTATTGAGTTGTCTAATTCTGACATTTTATTGTTAATCTTCTAGATTTCTGATTGCTTTCTCTCTGTGGATTCCTGCAGCCTATTAAATTTGTCATTATGCTCTTGAATAACCTTCTTAAGATCCTCTATTGCTTTGTCTGTATGTTCCTTAGCTTGTTCTGCATTTTACATGATCTCCTTCCTGACTTCTTAAAGAGTTCTGTATATTAATATTTTGTGTTCTGCCTCCTGTAATTCCAAGAAATTCTCTTCCTCTGGAAAATTTCTTGATTCTTTGTTTTGGGAGCTTGCTGAAGCCATCAAGTTCTGCCTCTTTATGTGATTTAATATTGACTGTTGTCTCTGAGCATCAATAAGTTATTATATTTATTTATTTTATGTTTGCTTACTGTGTCCTAGCTTTTTGTTTGTTTTTTTAATTAGTCTCTCGATCTCAAATCTGGATTTATAGTCCTCAGAATCTTTTATCGTCAATCCCCCTCCCTCATTCTTTCAAGACAGTATTTCCTTTGTGCTGTAATCAATCTTCAGCAGATATATTCTAATTTTAAAGAATCATGTATATGCTACTATGTTATTTGGTGCTTTCATTGCTGTTCTTGTTTGGTGCATACCTTGGTTCTCTCTTCATGACCACATTTGATCGCAGCACTAGTTAGCTGTGTTGTAATAGAACAATAGTCAGAAAGAGCTGGGATGCAGTCAGCTCTCAAAACCACTGGCTGTGTCTACGCACATTTAATACCAGAGAATAATAGTACCTATCTCACCAGATTATCGAACCTATTAAGAGAAATAATGTTTAGAGAGCTAATCATAAACCAGACATACAGTAAAATATGGACAAATGTTAGAACATAAACTCCACAATGACAGGGATCATTGACTCTTTGATTCGTCTAGTCGATTCCAGCTCATGACAACCTCATGTATTACAGAGTAGAAATGCTCCACAGGGTTTTATTGGCTGTAATCTTAATGAAAATGATCCCCAGGACTTTCTTCTCAGGTACTACTGAGCAGGTTTGAACTGCCAATGTTTACGTTAGTGGTGGAGTGCAAACTGTTTGTGCCACCTAGGACTCAGTACATGATAACCAAAAACCAAACTCGTTGCAGTCAAGTCGATTCTGACTCATAGTGACCTTATAGGACAGAGTAGAACTGCCCCATAGGGTTTTCAAGGAGCAGTGGTGGATTTGAACTGCCATCCTTTTGGTTAGCAACCGAGCTCTTCACCACTATGCCACCAGTGCACTGTAAGGGCTCAATAAATAACATGTCACCTTGACATTGTGAAAATTAGAGATAAATTAGGATAGGCATATAAAGCATATAAAAAAGGGTTTGCCACAACATAAGTTGTGGCAACAAGACTTATATTTTAGAGGCATGTTATCAGGAATATGATTGGTCTTTTAGAGAATTCTTGGGGATACCTATCTTCAAAAAGGCTAAAGGTCCTTTGTTTCGTCCTTCTCAGGCATCCTGTTCTCCCTGGTGGTGATGCTCTATGTCATCTGGGTCCAGGCGGTGGCAGACATGGAAAGCTACAAAAACACGAAGCTGAAAGCCTGCTTGGATTTCACCCCTTCCGTCCTGTATGGCTGGTCGTTTTTTTTGGCCCCAGCTGGGATATTTTTTTCTTTGCTAGCTGGATTACTATTTCTAGTTGTCGGTCGGCATATTCAGATACACCACTAATTGATCTGTTGCCACCAGCATTTTCTTGAGAGAATTTAAAACAGAACATACTTTTTTTTTTTTTTTCATTTTGTTTCATTGATCCCAGGGTAGAGTTAATTGATGTAAATTTTTTGCTTGCTATTTGAATTAAGGATTTTACCTGTGATTTCCTCTGATAGGAAGGTCCTAGACTCTCTCCAGACCCCAACATGTTTCCATCTTACCTAAGTGCTATCAAGAATCTAGTTCTTTAGGAATCAAGTAACATCCACCTCCCTTTAATTGCAGGCTGCCCAGGCCAGATAGATAGTATGACACCATCGCATGGGGCAGATCATGCTTTGGTTTATAGTCACTTTCTTGGCTTTCACTTCCGCTACTCTGCATATGTATAAAAAATCTTTGGAGAATAATTAAGAATGAAAAACAAATGTTGCCGGTGTAATTTAATTTCGTTTCGTCTCCACACCGTTCGTATCCACGTCCACATTCACTGACTTTTGTGAGCAAATTATTCTTTCTTTAAAAATAGATAGCAGTTGTTTTTGTAGTGGGATCCATGCAAACTCACCAGTTAAAATGGGCCACAACGAACGATACAGAGAATGTGCACTTTTACCATCTTCTTACCAGCAGTGTTTTGGTTACCGAATTTTATTCACTTAATTGTGCATGCTTACATAAACCTTAAACTATATTTAAAAGTAGCAAATCTATACAATGGAATTGTGTATAATGTAGATTGGATTTTTATGAACTTACAAGGGGTTAATTGTGTATGTAATATGGTTTAAAATATGTAAAAACCAAGTACCATAGCTTAGTACATAATTCTATTTGATATTTTAAAATTCTCATTTAAAAGTTATGTTGCTAAGATGTTCAGCATGTGAAAATTTATTGATGAAATGTGCTTTTAATATCCATTAGCTATAAACTTTTGAAATACTTCCATATGAGGATTATAATAGCCTTCCTTTATTAAAGACTATGAAATATTAACCTTTCCCAAGATTTTATGGATTCCAGTTTTTCTGATCATTTGATCCTCTTAATTATGATTCCTCAATTCTTCATCTTTGCAATAGGCATATTAACATTTACAGATCTGCTGTATCCTTTAACTTCCTGGTGGGGGGGAGTTTTTGTGGAGGAAAAACAATACTTTGTTATTGACTAGTGTGGACACTTTGCATATCAAAGATACACGTTTGGCACTAATTTTGATTGAAATCAAATCCATCTGAGAAGGCTAGGTAGGATTTGCCTTTTGGAAGCCTCCATCAGGAGTTTGGTGTTACAAGGAAAAGAGAAACGGCATGCGAGCTTTGTTCGGTGTACAGCGTTTCATTCCACAGCTGTTGTGAATATGAAAAGCATGACTTAGAGGCAAAGTGACCACCTAGAATATGCTGTGGGATACATTGACTGTAGCTTCCAGTCCAGCTGCCTCCATGATGGAGAGATTGCCTGAGTCTTTGCTGCAACTCTCGTACTTTTCAATCAAGCCTTCTTTCAGTGGGAGGGGATTTGGGAGGAATAGCAAAGGTCTCAGGTATCCACAGAATCATGAGGATATTTTAGTGATGGTCAGGACTTGCCTGTAATCAAAAAAAGCTTCAGAGGTTTAACTGGTTTCTCAAGCCATTTTGATTATATTATAAACGTTTTTGTGGGATTTTCCTTTTGTCTTTTCTGTTTCATTTTTGTATTGCTTCATTTACTTCTTTGCTTTTGGCTTGATTATTAGAAAAATAATTATGGGTTCTGTTATGTGTATTGACTGTGATATTAAGTTATGGCATGCCATTAAGTTTTCCAGACGATGCTAGATGTCTTTGATTAGCTCATGTCATCTGTAAATACAATTCTTTTTTGTAGAACTTTGGAATGGAGCCTTTTTCTGGCGTACTGTATGTCATTTAAATTTCACATACAAGCTGCTTTTAGTAAAGGTTTGAATATTTATAAATTTCAGATGGTCATCCTCACTTTCTAGAATACTTACGCGGCTACCATACATCCACCATAGGGCAATTGGCTGAATATCTGATGTGTATGGTGCTTTTACACAGATCTGCACTTTGGAAGTATTTTATACTTGTAATACATCAATCACATTAATTTCAAACACATTTTCTGATCTACTTACCAGCAGTCCTCAGAAGGAGTGAAGGTGAGTTGTGCTTGCTATGTCAATGAGTAAAATATGCTTAAAAATAGCAGAGATATACTGTATATTGTTGTAACAGCCTTATATGTGATTTGGGGTAGTATGTTTCCTTTTATTTCTCTATTTACTGAATTGATTAATTTTCAGCAGCCTCCAAGTAAAGTGTTAAAATCTTTTTTGAGTGTTGATTTTGAGTTATAAAGGTTCAGTTTAATAAATAGGATCTCTTCTCAATGACACTTTTAAAAGAATGAGTAAAAAGGACAGTGAGTTATGGCCTTGAACTTTGATCTCTCCAGATAGTATTTGTCTTACTGGTTTAGTTCAGTCGGGGCAGCAAATATTACATCTGTTAAAAATTGACTGGAAAAAATGTAACAGAGAAGCTTAATGACAGTGTTCAATTTGGGGGTTGAGGTAGGACTTTCTAAAAGAATAAAACAGTATTATATGTGCTTTTACTGGTCATTTTTTTAATCATTAATCTATGAAATATGTGTATGAATTTGAAGGTCAAATCCACTTATAACAGTATTGATATTTGGCTCTATCTGTCTATATATGTATGAATCAAAATATACGTGTGTGTGTGTGTGTTACAATTATAAGTTTGGGTAGAAGGAGGTAAAGTGGTGAATGGTAGAAATCAATATATTTGTGCTAAACAAGTTTAAAAAGTTATTTTTCTCTTGGGGGATAGTAATATAGCTATGTTTCCCTGGGCGCCATTTTAACTGTTTAACTCTATTAAAGCCCATTCAGTCCAACACATAATTTGATTTATATTTTCATGAAAGTGACCAAATTGTCCTCACAGACAGACAATTTAAATTTAGGGTGATGAGACAATTAGGGGATACCAGTTAAAATAAGTTAGACATAAGCCTGCAGGTGGGTAGAGTTGTGGGGAAAGATTAATAGTGCTGTGGAAAGAAATACACTCATAAGGAAAAGAATGTGTTTTGTTTTGATTCGATTTTAGTGAGACTTCACTGGAAATAGGGAGTGCATTAAAAAAAAGAGAGAGAGAGAAAGAGATGAAATGGAAAACTAAATTTTTGTTGATTATCTGAAGGAGTTAAATATAGGGAGACATTTCCTCAGTGACGATCAAGAATACGTGGAAAAATCCCAACAAAAGCTTAGGATGATAGTAACGTAAGTATGTTAAAAACTAAGGATGATGGGAAATTATTTAACATCGTATATGCTATCATAAGAGTAACAAAGAAACATTTAATCTGGTTAGCTGGGAAGGAGGAAAGAAAGTAAAATATCTAGTTAGAGCTTAAAGTTTCTGAACTAGCTAACCAAGGCAAGTGCTAGGAATGCCGTCATCAGGAATAACTAAGTCCAGTCTGGACCCATGCTGTGAAGGTGGGAATTATTAGAGAAGACAAATCTGAAACAACAGTGGGGATGGACTAAGAGGCCCACTTTGGCTTTTGATGGGCCATTTCTCCAGACGAGTATGTAGCTCCAGCACTTGTCTGTCAGTTTGTCGTACTGTGGTGGCTTGCGTGTTGCTGTGATGCTGGAAGTTATGCCACTGGTATTTCAGATACCAGCGGAGGCACCCATGGTGGACAGGTTTTAGCAGAGCTTCCAGACTAAGAGTAGGAAGAAGGACCCAGCGGTTTACTACTGAAAAATTGGCCAGTGAAAACCTTATAAATAGCAGTGGAGCATTGTCTGATGCAGTACGGGTAGATGAGTCCCTTAGTGTGAGGATGGTGCAGGACTGGGCAGTGTTTCATTCTGTTGTACATAGGGTCTCTGTGAGTCGGAACCGACTTGATGGCACCTAACAACAACAACAAGTGTGTAGCTATCACTGTGGAAAATCAAAGGGGCAGTTATTGGATTGAGCTTTGTAGAGTGATACACCTCTGGATATAAAGAGCCATATGATACCCAGTAATTCTCTTCTGCTTATATTTCTAAACTGCATACAGTTTATAAGGTACCTATGTAAATAACTACATTAGAATGATTTTGAATTCTTCCAGTAATGACAATTTTTCTGGTTCACACAAATGATAAGAATAGTCTAATTTGTTTTTATTAAATAAGTGCGGTGGGAGTAATTGGCATCCTGCGCTGATACTGAGTATTACGTAGATAATTTGGAGTGAAGGGACTGGGATAAAATAAGTGCATATGCAGCAAAATTTTCCTATTCTCATTCTACTGGGAGTCCGGGAGTTACTGTGACATAATTCACTAAAAATGTAGGACACGTCTCCCTTTATGTGACCATTCCTTTTCTCTCAGCATTTCTCTTCCCATTAATTCTAAAAAGAGAATTCCACTGTTAAAAATAAAAAATAAAAAAAAAGCACAAATGCTTGCAGATAGTATTGACATTGAAAGCTATTTAAACAAACCGGTATTTAATCAACATAGCCTAAAAAGAGTGATACGTGAAAAATAATTTTTATTGCCCCATATGTATTTTAGTATAGTATATACAGAGAGGGAGTCCTGGTGGCGCAGTGGGTAAGAGCTCAGGCTGCCAACCAAAAGGCTGGCAGTTCAAATCCACCAGCTGCTCCTTGGAAACCCTATGGAGGCAGTTCTACTCTGTCCTATAGGGTTGCTGTAAGTCAGAATAGACTTGACAGCAATAGGCTTGTTTTTTTTTTATATATACAGAGACAATAAAAGAAATATTGATATATTCTTTTCCCCCCAAAAAAACACAAAGGAAGCTTTTTCTCAAGAATTTTATTGGTGTGTGTAGATATCTGGAGAGATTTCAAGTAGAAAATTGGATTTACCTCTGTGTTTGTGTGTGAGTGTATGGATTTGAATAAATCTGTATATACATTTGTCAATATATATGTTTGAATACACATATTTATGCCATCAAGTCAATTTTGACACATAGCGACCCTATAGGACAGAGTAGAACTGCCCCATAGGGTTTCCAAGGAGTGGCTGGTAGATTCAAACTGCCAACCTTTCGATTAGCGGCTGAGCTCTTAACCACAGTGCTACCAGGCCTCCATATTTATATATACACACAAGTATATATATACACACACATAAATATATAACCTGTTGCTGTCGAGTCAATTCCAACTCATAGTGACCCTATAGGACAGAATATATGTTTTTGTATATCTAGAATGCTAGGTGGTGCAACAGGAACCCTGGTGGCCCAGTGGTTAAGCACTTGGCTGCTAACCAAAACATTGGCAGTTCTCGCTGCTCCTCGGGAGAAAGATGTGGCAGTCTGCTTCTGTAAAGATTTACAGCCTTGGAAGCCCTATGGGACTCTTCTACTCTGTCCTGTAGGGTTGCTATGAGTTGGAATTGACTCGATGGCAGTAGGTTTGGTTTGGGTAGTGCAAAGGGTTAAATGCTCAACAAACCCACCCGCAGGCATCTTGGAAGACAGTCCTGGTGATCTGTTTCTGATAGATCACCACCTTGAAAACCCTATGGAGCAGTTCTATTGTGCACACATGGGGTAGCCATGAGTTAGAATTAACTCAATGGCAACGAAAAATAAGAACAAATAATGTTTATACACACACACACACACACACACACACATACATATATATATATAAGAAATGCCTTTATTTATTTTATACGCGTATATACTCATATGCAAATACCTACTTCAGACATTTCTGAGCTCTTAAGGTTTGCCAAAAATAAGGGCATTCCTTTTTTTTAAATCATGTTATATATATATATATATATACATATATATATATGTATCATAAAACATTTACCACTTCAACATTTTTCACATGTTCAATTGGAGGACACGTTTCATCTTTGTGCTATTGTGTGCCTGGTCCCAGTGTTGAGTGAGAGAAAGCAGAGATTGAGTGAGTGCTGTCATGGACTTCCCTTCCTTGGTGCCAGAGAATATGTGGCGATGAATGTAGAATGCATTTATCACAATGTC